GGCGGCGGCGGCGGAGGCGGCGACAGACAGGGGCAGCTCCGGCGCAGCGAGCCCGCTTGTTCCCTCGGGCTCCTGCCCGCCCCGCCCCTCCCGTCCCCTCCCTTCCCCCGCCCAGCGCCCAGCTCCGCGCGCAGTTTGACAGCTCCGCTCTGTGCCTCTCCTCCCTCCTCCCACTAACTCCGGCGTCCAGCCGCCGCCTGCGCTTTGCCCGCCTGGCCTCCTTCAGCTCCCGAGGGCGCGGGGAGGTTGCCACTCCCGGCCTAGCAAGGCTGGGCTCAGGGCACCGAGTACGACCAGAGGGCGGGCAAGCTGAGCCCAGTGAAGCGCGCGCAGCGCCCGGCGCACCCCACTGGCTGGCAAGTGCCTTCCTGCTCGCTCTTTGTCCAGCGCCCTCGCTTCCTCTCAAAGTTTTCTCTACACAAAGACCAACACCTGGGGACGGCCCCGGCGCACGGCGAGGAGGTTCTGCCAGCAGACGTTTCAGCAGTTGGCAAATTAGAAGGGGCAGAAGGGAGGGGAGAAGAAATGCCCAGAACAGGCCAACTTCGCTGGAGTTGCTGACTGAAATTGGTGAGCCAGGTGCTGAGCCCGTGAAAAACCACCTCCTCCAGGCTGTCTTCTGGGGCCAGTGGCAGCCGAGCCTGGGACCTTAGCACAGCTTGAGGGTTAGCAGAAGGCTCCCGCAGGACTGGCTGTGGAGGCTAAGGCAGACTCGGTGTCGGCCTGCGTCCTCTGGTCTGGCAGCGCTGACCCCGGGAGGGCTGGATCCTCTCAATCCTTGCACTCCTTATCAGAATCAAAACCTCTCTCCTATCTTGATAAAAAGTCTCCTAGAAAAATGAGGCTCCCACGAGGGTAATGTCCCATGCAGAATATTTGATTCTTCTCCAGCCTTGGATATTTCAGCTCCAAATACCTTTTGCCCCAACGGCTAGCCCAGGGTGGAAAGGGCCCTGTGAAGTTTTACTGGAATTGGAGTAATTACCTCTTTTATTTTTTTTCCTGGTTCTAATTGTAACAATTCCAGAAATCAGGAAATGTAGCTTTCCAGAAATGACCATCTGGTTTATGAAAGGGCCCCAGAGGTTTGATATGTGGGGCAGAGTGTCTTATTGGAGAAGATACAGGAATATCCTGACTGCCCGGCCAGTACCTGCAATTGAATGGGGGTAACAGGTTGGCAGTGTCCCTATGACAACACTGATGGATCTGGGGAGGGCAGTTTGGTAGCAGCCAAAGAGCACATGGAGACAGAAGAGGGCCTTTTGCACTTTCCACCAGAGTGCTGCCCGCGCTCAGAGTGCGCTTGCTTCTTTTTGTTTGGGAAGCGGGAGTATGAGGGAAGGGTCTGCTGGGCTTCACTGGTCCTGGGAGGCAGGAGTTCTCCTCACCCTGCCTGGAGAGCAGGACAGAGGCCCCGAGGGGTGGAGACATTTCTGCACCAGGCTCCTCTGCAGGACAGGAGCAGATAGCTTTTCGACTGGCGGTTGGTTTCCTTCCCAGTGCTTGGTGAAGCCCACGCATCTTTGCTTCTCATCACACTTGGGGGTGGGTGTGTGAGACACTGAGGTTGACTGCTATGTTGGATGTACGCTCCCTGCCAGCTAGAGGCAGGCACAAGACATCAGAGAGGGCTTCTCATCAGTTTGGCTGCCCGTGTGTGCTCTAGCCAGCCTGTCTCCAAGTCTTCTTCATTTATGCAGTACCGGGGATTGAACTCAGGACCCTGTGCTTGACAGGCAGGTGCTTATTCTACTGAGCTATCTCTCTGGCTCTTGTCTCCAAGTTTTCTAAGTGCGTAGTTCTTTCCTGATACATTGTTTGACAGGAGGCTCAGCAGGTGAGAGCTGTTATTATTTTGTGTTATTTTTTTGAGATGAGTGGCTGGATAGTGGAATAAAGAGGGGTACGAGCAGCAATACCTGGTTCCAGCAGGTCACGACCTCAGTCACCCCCTTAGTCATTCCACCACCCCATACTCTTTATTGCTCATCTTACCTGTGCCAGGTTCTGCATTAGGGGCTGGAGATCCCAAGAGTCATCTCATTTCCTGCCCTCTCCTGACTCACAGTTCAGGGACAAGATACTCAAGCAATTAATTATAACATGGAATGTGGGCTCTAGCAGAGGCAGGGGTTCCTGACTAGCTTGTAATTGATTAGGGAGATCACCCTCAAAGGCAAGAAGAAACCCTCTGCAATCTTTCTTTCCTGATCTCTGCCTTTCAATCCACTACACTCCTGGTACGCAGGCTGTCACCAAGGTACTGCTGTGATCCTACATTCACCAGGCCAGACAGACTACATGGCTAAAAGCACAGGTGCAAAAGAAACTCTTGCAGTTTTCTGTTAGGTAGCTCCTGTTCTCGTCCTTGGCACCCACCTGGGAGAGTTCTTATGTATGGCAAGGAAATAGTGAACCTTGTATTTCTCGCCTCATGGCGATCTCACACCCAGGCTCTCGGAGCGCTTTTGTCTAGAGCTAGCAAAGTGACATACAGGTTCTTCTCAGTAAGCATCATAGACGATGAGAGGGACCGTGTGTGGACCGGGGATCTGTTCTCTAAGCCCCTATGTTGGAATCTCCTGGGTCAGCTCTTTTGATGGTGATCTCTGCTGTCTCTGAAAAAGGTTTGTTCCTGGAACACAGAAAGAGGAAGAGTGACTGGATTGGCAGCAGGTGTCAGGCTGGTGATGCAAACTGCCACATGGACCCACAGAGCCTCCTTCTCTTCCTGAGCCCCCTGTTCCTGAAAGTCCCTTTTCTGCCTTAGATGCCCAAGAAATGGGGAGTCCCACGATAACTGCTTTGCTTCTTTAGATGGAGTCACTGAATGCTTGGGTTAAAATCTAAGAGTTCATATGGGAGTGGCAAGAAATTAAGTCAATACTACCTATTAGCATTTTAACTGGAATTAATAGAGTATGTTAGCTATTCAGGCAACTAATAAAGGACTTGGGAAGTTTGAATCAATGGAAATAAAGTTGTAGGGGGCTCTGCAGAAGCCCAAAGGGGTCCAGTGGGGTCCAATAGAGCAGGAGGATGGCCCTCCTGTGTCTCTGCCACTGGCTTGTCCTGCTGTCTGCCAGCTTCAGGGGTGGGGTCCTAACCATGGCCTGAGTTCATGAGAACCCCACACCTCATCTACCATTTGCATATTTTGCTAAACTCCAATCCCACTCCAGCCGAGCAGAATTTCCAGCTGAACCTTGTTGGGCACAGTAAGAGCTAGATTGATGGTAACATATTTGACTTACTGACTAGAGGAAAAGGCAAGTCCGGTGCCCTGGGAGAGCCGGCATCTACAAGCACACACAACTGTGAGGCACCATGTGGGGCTGTTTTGACTTAGTCCTCATGGCGATCCTTTCATCTAGATTCCATCATCATTTTGCATTTGAGCAAACTGAGGCTCCAAGAGGCCAAACTGTCCATGGTGGCTCAGGTGGTAGAGAGGGAACTCCAGTTCACACGGCTTCCCAGGCTCCAGCAACTTCTGGGATCCAGGGATTTCCAAGACTCCCTCCAGCAAGCTGGGAAATTTAAAACAGATTTGCAAACAGGCACCTCCTTTGTTTCTTACTATATTCCCTTAGTTCTGGTACATCAGGACTCAGGGAACATGTCTACCTTTCCTTGCTGCGCACCCTTCATCATTGGTGAGGTTGTAATCATAAATCTCCATTCTCACCTTCTCACATGAAAAAAGGCTAGTTCTTTAATTCAATGCAACTTTTAAAAGAAAACTTAATAATCATTATCTAAAACTGTGATCTTAAACATTAAAGCAGAGACACTAAATCTCCTGGAAGAGAAAGTAGG